AGGGATTCAGATTCATTTTGATGCAAATGGATTTCCAGTTTTCCCAGCACCATTTGTTGAAGATGCTATCCTTCCTCCATTGCATGCTTTTAGCTCCTTTATCAAATATAAGATAGTTGTAGTTTTGTGGATTGGTTACTGTGTCCTCTATTCTGTACCATTGGTCCACCCGCCTGTTTTGGTTCTAGTACCATGCTGTTTTTGTTACTATTGCTCTGTAGTATAGTTTGAAGTCTCAGGATAAATTTCTATAAGTGGAATCATTGGGTCAGTTAGTCTAAATACATTTAAGCCTTTGGCTTATATCGTAAATACTTATCAAAAAGCTTATACTCATGCTTGTCTTACATTTGTGAGGCACTGGGTGTGATTCTCAGCACCACATAAAAATAAATAGATAAATAAATAAATAAAACTCCACCCCAGGAATTAAAGAAATAATTCCATAGAAGAAAATATTATCATATATAAAATATTTATAATAAATTTAAAATAGTGAAATCTGGAAGAAACTATAACATCTATTAATAGGGAAATAGCAGCAATGTAATGTGCTTTCATATTGCTATTGAACATAAATATAAGCAAGGAATCAAAGTATCTGTATGAGAAATATAGACTGGGCACCATGGTCCACCCCTATAATCCCAGCTACTTGGACACAGGAGTATAATGAGACCTTCTTGAAATTATAAAAAAATAAATAAATAAAGTACTGAGGATGTAATACAGTGGTAGAGTGCCTTTGGGTTCACTCCTAAAGTACCAAAAATAAATAAATAAATGAGAGAGAAAAGTATATGAGAAGATTTAAATGATAAGTTCAATTTGCATCGTGAGTTCAATTATAGAAAAATTTATTTATGGAACAAATAGAGAGTGAATGAAATAAAAGTAACGCCTATGTGAGGATGCTAAGATGACATAATGGTTGATATTGCAAATGTTTATATATACTGAGCAAAGTTTTTTGTCAATTTTCTTGGCCCTTTTGATATGTGTTTCATTTAAGATTCTTGGCTTTTTAGAAGGCAATGTAGTAGGTATTCCAGTCAACACAGTTGGAAAACTCAGTGAAGAAAGTCCTATTTCTGTGTTGAGGGACATTTCTTATGAGCAGATAGTCCCAGTAGAAAAGGTACCAGAGTGTTAAAAGTACTAGCTTAGATTGTCACCTACTCAAAAGTTACCGTGGTGAATGATTACATAGACAAGAAGACTCAAAGAGATCAAGTGAGTAGGCAGAAAACCAGTTGATGATCATTTATGTTGACATCTAGAAAGAATGACTGTGGCAGCAGTGATCCTATCAGAAGGGCATAGGATTTGGAGTCTGAAGTTGTAGGTTCAACTTATACCTCTGCTACTTGTTAGCCATCAGATTTTGAACAAATTGCTGTAAAATGCAAATGATAGAACAGTAAAGCTAATGTTTATTGTACACTTGTGTGCTGGGTACTATTTTAAGCTTGTTGCTTAATAGTTTATTCCCAATAGCAGCTCTATACATTGGGATACTAATATAATACCTGTTTTACAGATGAAGAAACAAGCTCAGAGAGATTGAGTAACTTGCCCAGGAAGAGGGCTAATGTATAGTGGAGCCACTTTTCAACCCAGAGTATCTCAATTATGATGTAGTGCCTTTCTTGAGGATAATGATGCTCAAGGGAGTGCTTTGTGGGTGCTGGGGTAGAAGCTCAGCGGTAAAGCACTTGCCTAGCATGTGCAAGGCCCTGGTTTCAATCTCTAGCACTTCAAAACAAAACAAAAAGTGTTTTGTGAATTGTAAAATAGTTATTAATTTATTTTATGGGTGAAGCATTACCCACAGCAATGAGATCACATATGGATGCTCATATGGTACACAAATAAATTAAGGAAACAATGTGGGGGCCAGGAGAATAGAACTCTCCTGCATATGCTTTAAGGCAGATCCTCTAAAGGGAGACTCTGTTAAGGAAATGATATCTTTTCTTTAGAGTCCTCTAATATTTATTAAGAACTACTGCTTGTTTGTTTTCCTGATGCCAGGGACCAACTGTAGGACCTCAGTATGCTAGGTAAGCACTCTACCGCTAAGATACACCCTCAGCCCCTAGAGTTACTGTATTTGAGGCTCTAAGCTGGGCACAGTCTGATTATATCTTATCTAATCTTTTTCCCTATTCTGGAATCTTTCAAAAGATTCTGTTGGAAACTTAATAGTACTTATAATATAAAAAATAGGGAATAGGGTTGTGGCTGAGTGGGAGAGTACTTGCCTCTCATGTGTGAGGCCCAGGGTTTGATTCTCAGCATCATATATAAATAAACAAATAAAATAAAGGTATTGTGTCCATCAACAACTAAAAAATAAATTTAAAAAAATTAATTCATTCATTTCATAGCCTCCCAAAGATAGGTAGTTGGACAATTATATTTTGCTATATTAGGATGGTTTGGGGTTTTATTATTAATATTTATTTTTAATAAGCCAAAATACTAATAAATTCTTTTATAGCATAAAAATCCCTTATCATTGGTTGGGACAGGAAATAAACTGCTCCAAATAGAAGGCTGTAAAATTAAGGAAAGGAATCTATTTGACTCTTATTTTTTCGTGACTTATTATTGAAGCACTTTCTCTTCATAATAAGAGCAGTCTGATTTATCTTCTGTTGTCTAAGAGTATGGATTTAGTCAAAAATTGATTTGAGATTGATTATGTTATGTGCATCTATAAATATGGCATAGTAAATCCCACTATTATGTATAATTATAATGCACCAATAATAAATAAATATTTATTTATTTATTTTTAACTTGGAGATGCAGGAGAAGTTGGACATTGGCACTGAGGATCTGTTCCAAGTCCAGTTTTAATTACTTTTCTTTCATTCTCTTTCTTATTTATTTATTTATGTCATACTAGAATTGAACCCAAGAATGCTCTATCACTGAGCTGTTATCACCAACCCTTCTATTTTTAAATTTTACCTTGAGACAGTGTCTTGCTAAGTTGCCCAGGCTGTCCTTGAACTTGCAATCCTCAACTAGAAAAAGAAATTATGAAACTGAGGCTTAGCTATGGTGACAAACTGAACTTCAGTGGAGGTTGTTTTAGGATAGTAATTATTTGTAGTTTATAAGCATAAAGAATTCCCACTTCAAGGGCTGGGGATATAACTCAGTTCATAGAGTGCTTGTCTTGCATGCACAAGGCCATGGGTTCAATCCCTAGCACCATAAGAAAAAAAAAAAAGAATTCCCACTTAAAGAAGTTTCATTTGGCCCTTTTTAAATGACTCTTACCTGGTTTTATAATTTTTTTATTTATTCATTTTTTTAATGTGGCTGGGGATTGAATCCAAGGCTTCCAGTGTGCTAGGTAAGGGCTCTACCACTGAGCCATATACCCAGCTCCTTTTACTTGTTTTTAAATTTTTGCATTGCCTAGCTTGTTGTGAACATTCAATAAAGTTTAGTGAATTAATTGACCTTTGCTAGAAGGCTAATTGATATAATAGAAAAGGCATGAATTTTGTAGTGGTCCTGGGTTCGCTTCCCAATGTGACAGCTTGGGCAACTTACATTGAGACTGGTTTCATAATTTGTAGAATGGGGTTAATAATGCCTAGTTTACTGGATTATCACGAGGAATACATAAAATTGTGTATTAATTTTCCTAGAATGGTGCCAAGCTAGGGCACCTTACTACCTTCTGTGCTAGATTTAGCAAAGCACTTTTTCAGTTCCTATATTATGTGAGAACACATAACACAGCTATATGGTTTTTTTAAAGAGTCAAGAAGAGATGAAGAAATAATTAGAGAATTTCTTTTTCCTCTTCCACAGGGCTATGCTTAAGAGTAAAACTTCAGCGGTGTTTGCCATTTAAGCACAAGGTAAGAAAAATGTTTCATTCTTGTCTTGAACCCAGGGACTCACACATGCTAGACATGTGCTCCACAACTAAGCCACATCTGCAGCCCATGTTGTTGTATTTTATAACTGCTCTGTTCCAGATATAATTCATACATATTATATAATTCACATATTTAAAGTATACCATTCATGGGTTTTAGTATATTCATAGAATTGTGCAGCCCTCACTCTAATCAATTTTAGTATGTTTTCATCACTCCCAAAAGAAACCCTATCCCCATTAGCAGTCATTTCCCTTTTATTCTGAACCCTCCTCCATCTCTGGGCAATTACCTATCTATATTCTGTCTCTGTAAATTTGTCTATTTTACATACTTCATTTAAATGATATTATACAATGTAGCTTTTGTGTCTGACTTCTTTGTCTTGGCGTGTTTTCAAGGTTCTTTCACGTTTTAGCATGTATCAGTGTTTCCTTGCCTTATAATATTCCATTGTATGAATATGCCACATCTTATTTACCTCTTCGTCATCTATTGGACATTTGCTTGTTTCTACGATTGTCTGTTTTGTTTTTAATGAAAAATGCTACTCTGAACATTTGTGTACAGGTTTTTGTATGGGCATGTTTTTGTCTTTTCCATGTAGGAATAGAATTGCTGGGTCAATAACTCTATGACCATACCATTTTACATTTTTACCAGTAGTTCCAATTTCTCTGCATTCTCACCAACATTTATTATTGTCATGTCTCTTTTTTTTATGTGTGTGTATGGTACTGGGTATTGAACCCCAGGCCTTGTGCATGTGAGGCAAGCACTCTACCAACTGAATTATATCCCCAGCCTTGCTCAGATTTTTTATGGCCTAAATGCAATTGTTTTCAGAGAATGTTCATAAGAAGCTAAAAGAAATTTTATTCAGCTGTTGTTGAAGGAAATATCCTGTAAATGTCAATTAAGTTCATTTAATTGATAGTATGAATTAACTCTGTAGTATCTGTGTTGATTTTTATGTCTGGATGACCTGTCAGTGTATTGAAATCACCCAGTATTATTATATTGGGGCCCGAGACTTTATGTCAAATAGTGTTTGTTTTATATAGTTACGTGCACCAGTGGTTGGGGAATAAATATTTAATATCATTATATTTTCTTGTTGGATTATTCTGTTTTCTAATATATAGTGTCCTTCTTTGTCTCTGATTTTGGCTTGAAATTTACTTTGTTAGATATAAGAAGAGCTACTCCTGTTTGCTTTTGGGTTTCATTTGTATGTAATACCATTGCATCCTTCACTTTAAGCATGTGGATGTCTTTGCGTATGAGGTTTGTTTCTTGAAGGCAGTGTATAACTGGGTCTTGTTTCATCATTCAGTCTGAGTTGCACATAATTTTTAACCAAAGTAAATGAAAGTGGAGTTATCCTATACCCATGGCTTGTGGTCTAGATAACAATGTTATGCCACTAGGAAATTGTGTATGGTACTTTGTCTTTTAAGAGAGATTACATGAAATGATCTCTAAGGTCCCTTTAACTGTAATAGATTATAATTTTTTTTCATGAAAAGGATTTATCTCGGTAGTGAATAAGTAAGAATTAGTTCATGTGTTTCAGTGTTCTGTGGAAAGCATGCTTTCTTTTCTTTTTTAATTTTTTACTTGTAGATGAGCATAATACCTTTATCTTATTTATTTATTTATTTTTATGTGGTGCTGAGATTTGAACCCAGTGCCTCACATATGTCAAGCAAGTGCTAAGCCACAAGGCCAACCGCGAGAGCATGCTTTCTTAACCACAAGATTTGCAGTGATTTTGTAGGTTGTCTCAAAAGCTCTAGGGCTTAGAGGCTAACTAATTTGTAGGGGTGCAGCAGGGCCAGGAGGAATAGCTTAACCAATATTATACTTGAGAAAAAGTGCAGCAAAATAATAGAGGATAAGAAAAGGAAGATGCTAAAATTGTATATATTGTGATCCCATTTTTCTAAAACAAATAATGAAAAGAAACTTCCAACTCTGTGTGTGTGTGTGTGTGTGTGTGTGTGTATGTGAGAGAGAGAGAGAGAGAGAGAGAGAGAGAAATGTATATAAGTCTATATGAGTATAAAGAAAAATATCTAAGAAACTACATGAATACATGAAATTGTTAATGTGGCTTTCCCTGGGAGTGGCGCAGGAGGTGGTTTAGATATTTATTTGGAAAGAAGTAGAGTACAGGGGAAAGATATTCCTGAATAAAACAACACATATGAGATTTCATTTGTATAAAATTGTGTTTATGTGTATTCATTTAAAAAATTATGAAAATGCCCCCTGCAGGATCTCCTCAGTTGAACAAAATATTATTAATTTCAGTCTTTGTTTTAGAAAAGAATGTGAGTGATTTGAGCCTAAGTCTTTAATGTCTGAAACAGGATTTAGGCTTTCATCCCAAATTCCAAACATGTAGATTCTTGAGTCCACTGCACATTCTGCCTCACTCTGTCATCTTAGAATGCTCTAATGTTTTGTTTCTATTATTTTTTCTTCCTAGTTGGAAATCTACATTTCTGAAGGAACTCACTCAACAGAAGAAGATAGTAAGTGAATCTGGAAATATTAAAAACAACTACAGATAGTATTTTAGATTGGATACTGGGTTATTCTACCAGCCAAATATCTACTGGATCACTTACAGTATACTGTCAGTTATTTGGTCCTTATTCACAGACTGTAAAATACAGGCATTTGAAAGTGGTGTTTTTTTCAACCAGGACTCTGGATGAACTGTAGTCCGTGGATATTAATTGGCTTGGGCCAGAGACTGAACATCTGTAAATGGTATCCAGCTCTAGGGACCTTGACTTTTGAGCTCAAGGACATAATTCTGTTCTTTGTGTACTTCAAATTGGAGGTCTTGTGATAAAAGCATTAGGGAATTGGAGTAGGTGCTGTCTCTTTGAGTTACTGTGTTAGAATAAGAGTGGAGAATCTTTTTTATGTTTAGAATCTCTAGCCTACAATGAGAAATCAACAAATAACTGCTTAAAAATCACAGAGGTGGGGAGTGGGGTTGTGGCTCAGTGGTAGAGCGCTTGCCTAGCACGTGTGAGGCGCTGGGTTTGATCCTCAGCACCACATAAAAATAAATAAATAAAATAAAGATATTGTGTCCAATTACAACTAAAAATTTTTTTTTTTTTAAATCACAGAGGCAGGATTTGGGAAATGCAAAAGAGTTCCAATTGGTCTGTGTCTCAATTTTTTTTTATTTATTCTTTTTAGTATAAATAAAAAATGCAGAATGTATCTTGACATATTATACAAACATGGAGTATAACTTATTCTAATTAGGATCTCATTCTTGTGGTTGTACATGAAGTGGGGTTTCACTGGTGGTATCTGTATGTTAAATTAAAAACAGAATTCTGAGCCAGGTTCAGGGATACATGCCTGTAATCCCAACTATTATATATGCCTATAATCCCAGAGGGTAAGGCAGGAGTATTTCAAGTTTGAGGCCAGCCTGGGCAACTTAGCAAGACCCTGTTTCAAAATAAAATTTTAAAATGTGTAGGAATGCAGCTCAGTGGTGGAGCATTTATATAGTGTACACAAGGTCCTGGGTTCCATCCCCAGTACCACAAAGATATAAAAAATAAATTAATTTAAAATGAATACATAAAAACAGAATTTTGTACAAATGATAGAGCACAATAATGAGATATATATATATATATATATATATATATATATATATATATAATGTATGGCTATACTAAGCTTTCATCATTAAATTAATTGGAAAGGCAAAAGACATGAGAAGAAGAGATAGCAATATAGAAAGCAATAGTGGGGCTGGGATTGTGGCTCAGTGGTAGAGTGCTCACTGGCACATGCGAGGCCCTGGGTTTGATCCTCAGCACCACATATAAATAAAATAAAAGTATTGTGTCAACTACAATTAAAAAAATTTTTTTTTAAAAAAAGATTGTTTAAAAAAAAAAAAAGAGCAATAGTAAGGTAGGTAGGTAGGTAGAAAAAGACAGTGACTCCACAAGGCTGGGAGAGATTTATCAGAGGAAAAATAAAAGTACAAAGAAAAGAGATGCAGAGAAGAAAACCTCCTACTTTCACAGCAACAGTCTGTTAAGGAAACATTTTGAGTACTGTTGTGAAAACTATAAGGTCATGTCCTATTTTCAAAATTCCGGACTTATATATCATCATTCTCCTCATGGGCTAAGTTTATTCAAACCCTATAAACTGAGGGCTTCTACCTCTAATTTAAAAAATAGTAAGCTGGAGATGTAGTTTAATGGTAGAGCACTTGCCTGGCATGCTCGAGATCCTGGATTTGATCTTGCCACCAAAAAAATAAATAGGTAAATAAACCATGTGCGGTGATACATGCCTGTTGTCCCAGCTACTCAGTAGGATCACTTGAGCCCTGGAGTTTGAAGCCATCCTGAGCAAGACCCCATCTCAAAAATTAAATAATAAAGTAATAAAGTAAACTTTAAAAGAGCTTAAGTACCCTTAATCCATTCACTTTATCCTTTTTTTCCTCATTTTTAATTGGTCCATTATAGTTGTGCATATTGGTGAAATCTGTTGTTACATATTTGTACATGCACACAATACAATAATATAATTTGGCCAATATCATTCCCCAGCATTTCCCCTTTCCCTCCTCTCCTTCCCTGGCTTTTTTTTTTTTTTGTACTGGGGATTGAACTCAGGGGTGCTCTACCACTGAGCTACATCCCCAGCCCTTCTTATTTTTTAAATTTTGAGATAGGGTCTCACTAAGTTGCTTAAGGCCTTGCCAAGTTGCTGAGCCTGGCCTCAAATTTGGGATTCTCCTGCCTCGGCCTCCCGAGTCTTTGTGATTACAGGTGTGCATCACCATGCTCTCATCCTTGGGTTATCCTTTTGAAAGTCCTCTAAACTATAGGACTTTGTGTGTGTGTGTGTGTGTATATATGTGTTGCTAGGAATTGAATCCATGGCCTTGGGCAAGTGAGGCAAGCACTCTACCAATTGAGCTATAGCCCCAGCCCTAAACTATAGAATTTTATAAGAATAATAGTATTGAGTTTTACGATTTTGGTTTTCCATTTTTAATTGTTTACCGAATGCTTTCTCTGTATCCACAAAGTTAAACTGTTGAGATATGTACCTGCCCATGTAGAGCCTACATTTTCATAGAAGAAATAGAATAAGTTGTATTTGTTGACACAGGAGTGTGTGTATGCGTGCACGCTTGTGCGTATATGTGTGTGTGCATGCATGTATCAGTACTAGGGATTGAATCTAGGGTTTCACAAGTCTAGTCAAGCACTACCATTGAGCTACTTCCCCAGCACTTTAAAAAAAAATTATTTTTGAGACAAGGACTTGCTAAGTTTCCCAGGCTGGTCTTAAATTTATGATCCTCCCTGCCTTAGCCTCTTGAGTAGCTGCGGTTACAGGTATGTGTCACCATGCCTGACTGTGAGTGTGTTCTCTACATGAGAAAACCCAGAAAAATCAATCCTCATTAGGAATATGGATATCTTTCTTTTGAATTCTTCTATTAAAATCACTATTAGTGGGGGCTGGGGTTGTGGCTCAGTGGTAGAGGGCTTGCCTAGCACGGGCAAGAACCTTGGTTCAATCCTCAGCACCACATAAAAATAAATAAATAATTAAAGATAAATATATAAAAAAGATTACTATTAGTAAATTGTAGACAACAAAGTGAGCCAATAGCTTTATTATGTGAAGATCCATGCAAGCTGATTAAAAAAAAAAAGACCCAGTAGATTAATAGAAAGAAATATTATCAGAAAATTCACACAAGAAGAACTCATCAGTAAACATGGAAAATGTTCTATCACTCTTAATCAAGGAAATGCAAATTACAGTGATAATATGGAGCTATCTTTTACTTCTTGTTTTATATGTGCATTTAGGTGTATTTGTTTTTATTACTAAAACCAGCTATTGGCAAAATTATAGCTAATGTATTGTTTTTGAAAATGTAAATAGGTAAATAATTTTGGAAAAAATTCAGTAATATAAATCAAACCATAACAATACTTACACCCTTTGTTCTCACAATCACATTTTAATTTTTTTGTAAAAAGAAGAAAAAATAAAAGGCAATAATTTTAAGTTTTTTAAAAGATCTTAATTGGTTTTATATTTTATTCTAGATCAGGCAACATGCAGAAAACTTTATGCTTAAAGTTGTTTATTATATTTAAGTATCCTGTAGTTTAGAAAATAGGCTTAAGGGGAAAAAACAGCCATTTCCAAAATTGTGTTTACTCTAAATATAACTGTATAGAAATGGCCAACAATTGGAAATAAAGAAATTTAAAATAGTTGTAGTAGGGTTATGAGTAATATTTTTATTTTTAAGTCTGCCTTCTAGTCCTTGTAAATTGCAATTAAGTAGTCAAAAACAGCTTTAAATTCTCAAGGAGTTACATTCTTTGTTTTAGTAGGCTAATAAAAATACTGTATGGTCCTCTGTATTGACATAGTTCTACTAATTTTTGTTTGTGTGTTTTGCAGTCAACAAGCAGATAAATGACAAAGAGCGAGTGGCAGCTGCAATGGAGAACCCCAACTTACGGGAAATTGTGGAACAGTGTGTCCTTGAACCTGACTAATAGCTGTTGTAATTACTGAACTGTAATTATTTGATAGATTTGTTTAAACTCTTTGTAAAATGTATGAGACTCATGTTTAATACATAAATGATTTGTACCTCAAAGCATTTTTAAAAGGATTATTTCCAAGCAAGTTATAGTTATAAAGTAGGACCTAATTTGTTCAGTGAATAACATTCTCAGGATTTATAACACTTAAGTGATCAGACAGAAAAATATTTTCTAGTTATTATGGTGTAAGATGAGTTACTATTTTTCTGATGCCCATTCTGATACAACTACTTTTCATGTCAAGTCTCTATTGTGCCCAAATGTATTTGATTTAAATCATTACTGTAAAATAAATAAAACAGATGATTCTTATAATGTTTCACTTTAGAATTTTGTTGAATTGTAAATTCCACTGTGTCAATTCCTCAAAGATATTTTCAAAACTTTATTTTGCTGATTATTATATAGCATCGGATCTAAAAACCAAAAGGAACCCTTAAGTTTGGACCCTGTGGGCTGGGGTTGTAGCTCAGTGGTAGAGCACTTGCCTTTTTTGCTTGAGGCCCTGGGTTCGATCCTCAGCACCACATAAAAATAAATAAATAAAAATAAAGATATTGTGTCGGGCTGGGGATGTGGCTCAAGCTGTAGCGCGTTCGCCTGGCATGCGTGTGGCCCGGGTTCGATCCTCAGCACCACATACCAACAAAGATGTTGTGTCTGCCGAGAACTAAAAAATAAATATTTAAAAAATTCTCTCTCTCTCTCTCCTCTCTCACTCTCTCTTTAAAAAAGAAAACAGATATTGTGTCCAACTACAATTAAAAAATATATTAAAAAAAAAAAAGATTGGACCCTGCTTTTCTTCAAGGAGAATCCTGGATACATTTAAATGGAAGGAACACATGTGAAGGTCAGCTGACTTACACAATTTTGAAGATCAAGAAGTCCCCCAAAGGCCTAGAGATGTACCTTAAAGAGAGTGGGCTTACCTAGAGTTCAGAAGGTCCTGGGTTTGATCCCTAGCACTGAAAAAAGAATCCCTCCAAGGGGAGCATGTAAAACATGTTTAGGATGCTTGAAACTCTGAATTTTATTTATTTATTTTTAAAGAGAGAGTGACAGGGAGAGAGAGAGAGAGAGAGAGAGAATTTTTTAATATTTATTTTTTGGTTTTCAGCGGACACAATATCTTTGTTTGTATGTGGTGCTGAGAATCGAACCCGGGCCGCACGCATGCCAGGCGAGCGCACTACTGCTTGAGCCACATCCCCAGCCCGAAACTCTGAATTTAATTCCTAGCACCACCAAAATAAATAAATAGATAGTTAAACAAAATAAAATACAAATGTCTCCCCAAGAAGTTTTTATTAAATCAATCTAAATGTATGGTCTATTCTTTATTTATATTTTGTTCAGTTTATTTTAGGGGTTAATGGTCATTTGAAGTGTAGCAGGTTACAGTAGGCAGCCTTCAAGATAGACTCCAGTGATCCTCACTTCATGGTGTTTGTGCCCTTGAATATAGTCTCTTCCATATTGAATCAGAGCTGACAGTTATGCCTCATGTGGAATGGCAGAGGCGACAGTGTGTAACTTCTAGTCTAGATCATAAAGGTATTGCTACTTTTGCCTTTGTCTCTTGGATTGCTCATTCTGCCAGAATCTGGCTGCCATGTCATGAGAATATTGAAGCAACCCTATGGAAAATTCTACAAGGAAAGGAAGTGAGGACTCCCACCATGAACTAGCACCAACTTGCAAACCATGGGAGTGAACCATGTTGGAAGTAATCTCCAGCCTCAGTTAGGTTGACAGATTGACTGGAAACTCATGAAAGAAACCTCTGGTAAGCCAAAACTGCTGGGATAAGCCACTCCCAAATTCCTGACCCAGAGAAGCTCTGAGAGATGATAAATACTTGTTATTTATACTTCTAAATTTTGGGGTCTCTTTGTTATGAAGCTAGTGTAGAAGGTATACCTGTGCTGGGTGCCAATTCTCATTATGTCAGAAGTGGGAGGGAAGTGACATCTCTAACTACCTGTCTATAAATGAGAGACCCAGAAAATTGGTGCCCCAATCCAGCCTAAGAAAGAAAGTGGAGCTGTGCTGAAGGCTGGGGTATGACTCCTTCCTCAGAAACCTGGAGAGCAAGAGAAGGCAAATGTAATTATTTTGAATGCAGAGTCATACTTGAATGTATTTCATGGACCCTGCTGTGGAGTCATATTTGACATAGTCCAGTAGCCGTCATCAGGGCCAACGAGACCTCAGCAGATAACATCTGGACATGTAACTGCCTGGTGCCTTGGGACTGAGTGAAGATAGCAGCCAGGGTGGAAATGGATCTGCCAAGATCAAGAGGCTCAGTAGAAACCCCTGGTGAACCTGCCAAGAGAAAAAGCAGCTCTTATCACCAGGTAGGCCTGGAGAGCACAAAGCCAACTAGCTAAGTAGTAACTGTCCTATCTCTTTAGAATTTCCCTTGCTTCCAACTTTGAAGGCAGTGGTAGAATAACTTCCAAGTCAAGAGTTAGGAGGACAGAAAAGGAACCGTCCATCTCTCCACTGTAGATCTGAGCCTGAAGCAAGCTCAAGTTGGCAGATTTAATGCCAAGTGTGTAGTTATGACTATTAGTTGTGACCAGATACTTTAATGAAATGGATTGTATGATTTAAAAAAGTGACAGGAAGTGGTTGAGGTGTAACTTAGTGGTGGAACACTTGCTTAGGGTACAGGAGGCCCTGGGTTTGATCCCCAGTACCAAAAAGAAAAATGACAGACTTATCTGACAGAAATCCTGTTTCTTTTCAAATCTACACCCATGGGCAGAGGAAATCATGCCCTCTCAACAAAGCTTCAAACCATAGTGGTAGAGGTGGGGTGAAATTACAACTAATTTTTGTGCAACATACTGGTTATAGAAGTTCTGTTGAGAGGCTAGGGTTGTGGCTCAGTGGTAGAGCTCTTGCCTAGGACATGTGAGGCACTGGGTTTGGTCCTCAGCACCAGATAAAAATAAAGTTATTGTGCCCATGTACAATTAAAAATTAAAAAAAAGAAGAAGAAGTTGTGTTGAAATCATTCTGACTTCTGCTGAGGCTCTGTACTGTAGGGATGTCTCAGCACAGCATTTTCCTTGTGTTCTTCCTTTCCATTGAGATAATACTAGGTTTGTGGAAATGTGTCAATTCTCAATCTTTGGCTATAAAAGTTCCCATTGGCTCCTCTTTTTTACTCTATTTCTTTAAAAATCTGTTGCCCAGCTTACAGAAGTAATGAAATGTTCCTAATTTTTATGATTTGGGGATTTTTTACTTAAGGATTTGCTAGTTTCTATTAAGATATGCCTTTGTGGGGTGCATGCCTGTCATTCCAGCATCTTAGGAAGTCATGGCAGGAGAATTCATGGTCAATCTCAGCAATTTAGTGAGGCCCTAAATTGAAGGCCCTAAGCAACTTGGTGTGACTTTGTCTCAAAAAATAGAAAAGGCCGGGATGTGGCTCAGTGGTTAAGCACCCCTGGGTTCCTGGGTTTAATCCCTATACCCTCCCCCCAAAAAAAGATATGGCTTTCATTTTTTTTTATTTATTTTTGAGATGGAAGGGGTGGTCTCAATGTGTTTCCCAGGCTGGCTTCAAACTCCTAGACTCATGATCCTCCTGTGTCAACCTCCTAAGTAGCTGGGACTACAGGTATGTACCATTGTGTCCAACTTGTGTTCCTATTTTTTAATCATCATTTTAATGTCTTCTTTCTAAATTATAAATCTTTCTGAATTGTAAATCAAAGTTTCTTAGAATCAACATTTCTTTCTTCATGGCACCCTGTGGGCCAGACCAGGGCAGGAGTTAAGTGTACAAGTTGTATGCCCTGTTCATATTCTCCCACCTAATGCACGATGTATTCTATTTGATCAGCTGTCTGCTTCTAGAAGATGTAACAGGCATCTTCAGAGGAGATTTTGGGCTCATGGACCAAGGTTCTTTGACATTGTTGGGGCTCAGAAAACAGTTCTCCAAATTGTAGCACTTTGGCATGCTGAATACTTCGAACTAAAGGAGATTGAAAGTTTGAGAAGTAGTCTTTCCAGTCTCCTCCTGCTCTCCTATCACCTGAGGCCTCTTCTCCCCTGAAACAGTTATAAAAAGTGAGAATTCCTCTTCCTTAAGGCAGGTTGTAGAAACTAGAACCCCTCTTCACCAAAGCAAGCCACATAGCCTAGAAATATTATTTATAATTTTCAGGGTTTTTAGCCCTCATTCCCTCCTGACCAGGACAAGCCAAGAAAGGAGAGGGCCAAGAAAGGAGAGGGCCAACTGACCACCCGCACCCAGCCCTCCCTTGCCTTCAGAGGCATCAGGGAAACCAGTCAAAGCAGGATCTCAGTTTAATGAGAGAACACACACAGCTAATATAATGTACAGGAGCCAATCAGGATAAAGGTCAGCAGGGTGGGGAAAGTTCACATGTACACCCATCCTACAGGCAGTAATGGGAGACACGAACTGTCCAAGAAGGCGGAAGGGTTCTGAGCCTATCTTAGAGGTGGTCCGATTTTTTGTCACAACCCATGGCAATGCCTTCTGGTTGATCATCAGGCGCTATCTTAGCTACATGTGGCCCCAGGACCCGGAAGCGGGTAGCAGCCAGCAAGTTAGATTTTCCTCTTTTCTGATACAACATGCCCTACATGTTGCATGCCCTACATCAACTTAGGTTTCCTCCTTTCTGATGCAACATGCCCTACATGTTACATCATGCCCTACACATAATATATAACATTTGTATATTTATAATATAGAATATTACATGACATAATATAATGGCATTTAAATTATATATCATATAATATTCTATATTATATTATATTCTGATTCTCTACTGTCTGTGTTGGAGCTGACCATAAAGAAATTCTCTGTCTTATTTTGTGAAAGAAAAGTGACCACAACACTCGGAGTAACCAAAAGATCTTTATTGCAGCAGTGCAACAAAGAGAAAGGAAAGAAGGAGAGAGAGAGAGAGAGAAAAGAGAAGAGGAGAGATGAAGAGGGAGAGAGCAAGAGCACGAGAGAGACAGAGAGTGCGCGCAAGAAAGAAAGAGAGCAAGAAAGAGAGAGCAAGAGAGAGAGGGGCCTGGCAGGAGGGAGTTTTTACAGCCCAAATCTATTGGGGCCTCTGGGTCTGCAAGCTGCCTTGTTGGTCCAAGGGGGGGTTAAGTGTTCAGCCTTGAGCAGGGTTGAATGTTCAGACTTGAGGCAAACAGGTGATAAAGGACCAGATAGAGGGGAGTTTGAGTGCGTGGGCTATCTTGCAGTCAACATCTGTTCAGCGTGCCCTGCAGACAACACAGTTCAGCCTGCTCTGCAC